ATTACTAATAATAAGTGTACATAAAAGTATGCACGTCACGTTTATAATATAATTACCAATAAAGGTATGTGTACTACTTGTTCATGTACTATTATAGTAATTATTAGTTGAAGTGTGTAACTGTACTCTTTGTATTTATAATTGTTGTTTTTGTTGTTGTTTTAGAGGAACTGGTACCACATTTTGCTGAGCTGGACATTTCTGCTGAAGTTTGTGTTATGTAATATCTACTATCAAATTAAAGGCATATCTCCTCCCTCTCTTTCTCTCTCTCCCTCTCTCTCTCTCCCTTTCTCTCTCTCTCTCTCTCTCTCTCCCTCTCTCTCTCTCTCCCCCCTCTCTCTCTCTCTCTCTCCCTCTGTGTGTGTGTGTCTCTCTCTCTCCCTCTCCCTCAGTTTGCTGATCTCACTAAACAGACTCTGATGCTTTGGCCTTCACAAAGTTTAACAGCTGACAATAATTATGTTGTAATAATGAGATTCTTGAGGAGTAATAATGGATCACTAATTGAGCCATCATATGCTTTTAAATCACTGAGGTACAATTGTATATGTATTGTTGTTATTATTATTATTATGTTGTTGTTGTTGTTATTGTTATTGTTTTTGTTGTTGTTATTATAGGGATGGTATTATTACTCATAATTATGATATTGAATATCGAAGAACTTATTTTAATGAAATATTCGACTTACTTAATGACAAATATGGTGAGATACTAGTACAGACTAGCCTCTATATAATGGACACTGTCTCTGTTATACAGAGGTGTCCTTTATGTGGAGGTTATTTTATACAGTAAGGAATGTAATTGGTACACTAGGTGCTGTCCGTTATTATTGATTATTATTAATTAGGTATTAAAAGAAGTGATATTCAGTTGTTGTGGGATTTTCCAACTGCAAGTACTAAATCACTTACTGACAGGTGATAAGCCACGCCCCTATCTCCTCCCACTTTTATTATGTTACTATTTATAGATTAGTCTTCATGAGAGATGATGCTATTAATAGAATTGAAGCTGCACCCCCTTCGTTAAATATTGTCAATTACACTGATAATTATTCCGATCAAATATTCAGGTAATTAATTAATTTATTATTATTATTATTATTATTATTATTATTATTATTATTATTATTATTATTATCATTAGGTATATTTATGCTGAGACGTCAGTTCCAGACTACCTCTCCTCTCCATTGCCTGGTTCCCATTTGATCATTGACAGTGAGACTGGACTACCAGTTTACCAAAGGAACTCTGTACTCTCCTTCATTGTAAGGACATCTGAATATACACGTATCAGGAAATGTAATAAGAATGGAGAATTCCCCCAAATTTTTTTTGGCAAAATTTAGGGATTTTTTGTGATTTTAGAGTAACTTTAAAATTTGTAAAAAATCCAATTCAAGTTCGAATCAGTTCAAACTTTCTACACAACATAAGTACATGTATATGTATCAGAAAATATAATTAAAATGGAGAATTTTCTACTTTCCATTTTTGGCAAAATTTGGCTCGTGACCCTGTACTATA